GCATGGATTGACAGCTCCAACTTCAGAGAGGGCCTTAGTGGATGGAGATATACCTTAGTGGTGAAGCACATATTTAGCATTCTTGAGTCATTCTCCAGAACCAAAAGTAAGTCTATTCAAAGCACTAATTTTGAATTAAAAGATTAGAGTTTTTGAATCCTGACAAGGAGCTTTGTGGACCCTGCTCAATTTTTAAACTTTATTTTCAGTTTTCCCATATATAAAATTAGACCTCACCAGGTTGTCTTGACAACTAAAATAAGTTCATTTCTGAGTGTACCTGAACTGCCTGCCTGGCAGGTGGAAAGCACTGTGTGTTTGCTAGAATTATAACCACTATCATCATTATCTTTTGGTTAATGCTAGGTTATAAACATATGAAAATGGCCATCAGTGTTGCTTGCAATCCAGTGGAGCATGACAGAACTTGTATGCATAAATACTTATGAAGACAAATAATTGAGTATAAAAATTAATATTTTTACTTATATCTTTGTGATCATCAGATTTGTGGAAAATTATTACTGTCCATCATTCAGATAATTGTCTTAAATAAATTTAATAGTTTAGTTGTCAAATTACAAAATGGGTAGTTTTCTGGTTTTGTGTAAAATGAATATTGACTAACTCTAAATGTTACTGTTTCATATTAACTTTGGTTGTACTCATTATTTTTCATCAATACTAATATGCATAATTTTTCCCTTAAACTATATTTGGCCTAGAGGACTGGTTCCTTTGGCCATTTTGATTTTTCTCTTTTGGGGTTTTGGTTTGTTTGTTTGTTTGTTTGTTTTGTGTGTGTGTGTGTGTGTGTGTGTGTGTGTGTGTGTGTGTGTGTGTGTGTGTGTTGGAAACAGTGAGTTTAAGATGCATGAGATGCTCTTAAGTACAGTTTTCTCTACCTTGTTGTCACCATCAAAATAAAAATTAAACATTTGAGTTTGTCTGATAAAATCAGTGGTACCAATTCAGACACCTCATTGTGAAGCTAAGTTAATACATCATTGAAGGGGCGTGAGCAGTGGTCTTTCAAAGTGCGGGTTTGGGGGTGGGAGCACTATGACTCCACTGTTTGTCCCACATCAGCCTGTGATAAGTAGTCAATAACTATTATTGGACCTGGTTAGTGGTAACACGAATCTGTTCTGCTTTTATATTTATGACACATAGCTTGCTAATTTTAACAGCTCTTGTGTCAAATATAGTAGACCCTAGGGACTTACTGAGTTCTAAAACTGTTTACATGGCTCATTTGAAAATATAAAATTTGGAGCTATTTGGGGGAGTATTACTTTGTTGTTTAATTTTAGAAATATAAAGTTAAAGGACAAAAGCCAGTACTGGATTAGCTATTTTAATACTACAAAATTGATTTGAAATTTGTTCTGATTCACTTCTTGCGTAGGCATGGAGGTCCTTGTGCTCACAGATAAGCAGTAGGAGAACCCATAATGTTTATACACAGGGTTATTCCTTCAAGAGAAGAAATGTAATACCTGTTGAGAGCATGTGTGCATTCTATCCTGGTGACCTTTCGTTATCTCCCTGAGATCACACCAGATCTTCCCCTAGACCCTCATCATAAGCTTGTTTTTCTCAGTCAATCTATAGAGCCTATCTTTTTGGAAGGTGTCACATGTACTTTACAAAGAGTTTCAATGTAGTCATGTCCAGTCTTTATTTTGGTGTTTTGTTCTTTATTAGCTTGTTTTGTTCAAGAGATGGATGTATGCTTTATTGTGCACATAGGATTGAGTTGTCCCCAGAAAAGATTTCACCAAATTGTACTATACTTATATATGCTTAAAATAGCCAGGCAGTGGTGGCACATGCTTTTAATCTCAGCACTTGGGAGGCAGAGGCAGGCAGATTTCTGAGTTTGAGGCCAGCCTGGGCTACAGAACGAGTTCCAGGACAGCCAGGACCATGCAGAGAAACCCTGTCTCAAAACATATATATGTATGTATGTATGTGTGCTGTGGGATGTTCTGTATGGCAAATGTGTTGCTAATTAGTCAATAAATAAAACACTGATTGGCCCATTGGCTAGGCAGGAAGTGTAGGCGGGACAAGGAGGAGAATAAAGCTGGGAAGTGGAAGGCTGAGTCAGAGAGACGCTGCCAGCCGCCACGATGAGAAACAGCAGGTGAAGATGCCAGTAAGCCACGAGCCATGTGGCAAGGTATAGATTAATGGAAATGGATTAATTTAAGCTGTAAGAACAGTTATCAAAAAGCCTGCCACGGCCATACAGTTTGTAACCAATATAAGTCTCTGTTTACTTGGTCGGGTTTGAGCGGCTGTGGGATTGGCAGGTGATAGAGATTTGTCCTGACTGTGGGCCAGGCAGGAAAACTCTAGCTACATATGTGTATGTATATATGCGTGTGTGTATAAATACGTGTGTGTGTGTGTCTGTGTGTGTGTGTGTGTCTGTGTGTGTGACTTTTGCCTCCTCCCGTGTATTATCACTCTTCTGGTCGTAGAGATTGCAGAGACCCCTGCATTCTTGTATGACTACATTATATCTATTCTCAGCCTGAGACTTAGGAATTGTCTTGGCCCAGGGCAATATAATGCTTGTATGTTTAAATCGAAAAGATGATGCCAGACATAGTGGCACACCTTTAACCCCAGCACTCAGGAGGCAAAGAAAGCAGATCTCTGAGTTTGGGGCCAGCCTGGTCTATATAATTGAGTTCCAGGCCAACCAAGATGCATTGTGAGAGCCTGCCTCAGAGGAGGAAGAGAAGGCAACCTCAATTCTGTGCTCCAGATAACTTCAGCTTAGGATGCATAATAAATAGTGATAAAGAGATGCTACATGTGCATAGACACAGTTACAATTTATTGCATCCAATGACATTTTAATATTTAATAATTTGCAAGATTTAAACTCTGCCATGAGACACTATACATGAACCTTGGTTGGTTGGTTGGTTTTGCTTTTTGAGACAGGATGTCACCACTCTGTACCCCAGGCTGATCTTGAACTCAGGGTGGTCCTTTTGCCCCAGTCTTTTGAGTACCTAGTATTAGAAGCATGCTTGTCTTTGTGTGTAAATCTTAAGTATAAATACTGTAGAAGCACAATGACTTATGAATTTATGACAGATACTGTGTTTAACAAGATATACTTTTATTTTAATACCTAGTAGTATCTCAAAATAAAATTGATGAAACTTTACATCTTTAAATCATTTTATTTGTCTTTTTGTGGTAAAAACAACAAAATATATACATATAATACATACATAAACTTGCCATATGATAAATTGTGATTTTTATTTTTTTTTTTTTTATTTTTTTTTTTTTTTTTTAAAGATTTATTTATTTATTACATATATAGTGTTCTGCCTACATGAATGCTTGCAGGCCAGAAGAGGGCACCAGATCTCATTACGGATGGTTGTGAGCCACCATGTGGTTGCTGGGAATTGAACTCAGGACCTCTGGAAGAACAGCCAGTGCTCTTAACCGCTGAGCCATCTCTCCAGCCCCAAATTGTGATTTTTAAATTGTGACCTGATTGTTTATGTCTTTGATTGTGGATTTATAAGCCAGGGTTTCCTTTTTGTAGCCCCAGGCTGGCCTCAGATTTGTGACCTTGTGCCTTAACCTCTAATATTTAGCATTACAGTTTGTCCATCTGTCACCACACCTAGCATGATAACAATTTTTTAAATTTTTTTTAAAGATTTATATTTTTTTTTATGTTCATAGGGGTTTTGCCTTCCTGTATGTCTGTGTGAGGATGCCAGATCCCCTGGAACTGGAGTTGCAGACAGTTGTGAACTGCCATGTTGGTGCTGGGAATTGAACCTGGGTCCTTGGGAAGGGCAGCCAGTGCTCTTAACTGCTGAGCTATCTCTCCAGCCCCCATTTTTTTTTAAATTTTTAATTATGTGTATTTGTGCCTGCCTGTTTTTGCATGTACCATGTGTATGCAGTACCCACAGACACAGAGGGCACTGTAACCCCTGGAACTGGAACAGACAGCTGTGAGCTGCCTTATGTAGATGCTAGGAATTGAACCCAGGTCTTACACGAGAACAGCAAGTACCCTTAGCTACTGAGCTATCTTTCCAGCCCATGATACATGTTTTGTTGTTGTTGTTGTTGTTTGTTTGTTTGTCTGGTTTTTTGTCCAAGACATGGTCTCACAATGTAGCTCCAGCTAGCCTAGAATTCACTGTGTAAACCAGACTGCCCTCAAACTCACGGATCCACATGCCTCTGTCTCATGAGTGCTGCGATTAAAAATGTGTACCCCTAAACCTGTCTGTGGTATAATTTTTAATTATAACAAAATAAACATCATTTACATTTACCCTCTGAACCATTTTTACTGAGTTCAGTAGTGTTAAGTATATCCACAATGTAAATACCCTAGAATATATGTATATTTTATGCATTAGTTACTTTTTTTATTGCTGTGGCAAAACACTGTGACCAAGGCAATGTATGAAAGGAAGCATTTAATTTGGGCTGTGGTTTCCAAAAGTGTTAGTTCATGATGGCATAGCAGAAGCTTGGCAGCAGGACTAGCTGAGAGCTCACATCTTGATCTGCAAGTAGGACATTATGAGGGAGCACACTGGGAATAGTGTGAGTTTTTAAACCTCAAAGCCCACCCCAGTTACACACCTCCTTCAACAAGGGCATGCCTCCTAATCCTTTCCAAACAGTTCCACCAACTGGGCACCAGTTATTCAAACATGAGCCTGTGGAAGCCATTCTCATTCAAACCACCATATTTTATTAAAAAAAAAATAGTAAGTTATTTGCTATTAAAAAAGCTTTTGTTCAAAATATAAACATATCTCATTAGTAAAGCTTTAGTTTTACATTGTTTTATTCTTAATTTTTATTCTTTTTTTAAACTTAAGTTTTAAGTGTATATTTTATATTTGCCTATACTTCCAAACTTTTCCTTTTGTTTCAGTTTTATGTTTTGATCAGTTCTCATATTCTCCCTTCCTCTTCTCGGTTAATAGGAGTGAGCTGAGTCGACAGAAACTTCATACCCAAGAGCTGCTTTCTCAGCTGGAAATGGCAAATGAAAAGGTAGCTGAGGTAAGAAAATGACTCCCCTCCCCACAAGGAAGTACTTTGTACTGCAGCTTGATACATACACTGTAGCATTTTAAATGCACCAAATCCACATTAATTCTCTACTTGGAAATAACCCCATACAAATCACCCCTAAAAGTTCACACTTAATATAATGTGAATAAAAGCTTTGAAAAACAGTGATTTGTCTTTTGTATACATTACAAGTAGAATTCTTATTTAGTGTTAATAGTATAATTTGTGCAGTATTTTAGAGACTGTATACTTTAGGATCCTCTTTTTTTTTTTTTTTTTTTTTTTTTTTTTCTGGAGCTGAGGACCGAACCCAGAGCCTTGTGCTTGCTAGGCAAGCGCTCTACCACTGAGCTAAATCCCCAACCCTGGATCCTCTTTTTTCATGAGAATCTCTAAGATTGTCTTATGTACCTAATTCCTCTTCATTTGTTTTACTCCATCACAGAAGGCACATCAAAAATACTTATGTCTAATAGAATATGCAAAAATAGTATTAAGATAGAGCTACCTTAGAATTATATGCAAAGAAAGAGTTCCTCGTTTCTTTTCTTATGGCTTTATAAAAGCAACTATTTTCTAGGTTTAGGGCTTCCTAGAGCTCTGATTAGCTTCAGATATGTGTGGTAGAATTTCATTAGTAGGGTATATGGCCTCTCTTCCATTGTCATCTACAAGAGACATAGTGAGATCATCACTCTTGAACATCATGGTATTGTTGATAGGAGACACTTAGAAAATAGTTAAAGATTTGATATTGAAATGTTCCTTGGTATATCTTCCACTTGGAAAAATACATTGTGTAAATAAAAAAAAACCCACAATTTTCAGTACAGTACAATTACCAATATATGATCAAAAGGAAACAAAAGATCAGATATGAGGTACCTCTTAAAATTTAAAACTTTAAAAATTATAATTTAAAACTTAAAATTTTTAAATTTAATAATTAAACAACTTGGTTGTTTAGTACAGCTGATATAGATCTCTTGTAGATTTAATTTTGCTTGTGGACACTATTATAATAAGCTCATTTTAACCCTATGCTGTTTTTCTCATTGTTACATGTAACTAGGCATGGCATTCACTCTAACCTAACCCTTCTGTGCTAGGACATAAACAACTATCTAGTGCTTCATAGAAAAGGGGGGTTTTAGCCATTCCTGTTTGGCTTTATATTCTGTGGATTCAGTTAAATGCCAGAAAACCTATATAATAATTTTATTTGTACAAAAATGTCTTTTTAGGCTGCGTTGTACCAAGCAGGTAAGTGTGGAAAAACAACACATTTCAGTTGACAAATTGTTTTTAGCTTGTTGGGATGACAGTATGGAATGATGGCATGATACTCATATTATAGTTCCTGTTATATCATGAGATAACAAACTAGGCTGTGTAAGTAACATAAAACTATGTCCTCGTGGTTCCAGAGGCAAGAAAGTGTCTGTAGTTGGCTTCTTGAGAGACTCTGACCACCTTTCTCCCAGCTCTTGCAGCTCCAAGCATTCCTTGGCTTGGGTGGGTGGTGCTTTCTCTATCTTCACAGTATCTTTCCCTGTATTTATCTGTCTTCGTGTCCAAATCTGCCATTTTCATGAAGACATCAGCCATGTAGTATGGCCCACTGTAATCCCCTTAACTGAATCATCTGCAAAGATTATTTGCAAGTAAGATCACATTCACAACTACAAGGGATTAGAACTGGAGCACCTTTGAGGGAACAGAATTCAATGCATAATAATGTCTAATAACCCTTTGGACCCTAATAGCTTCTGCAGGATACAGATGTCTTGGGGAGCACACAAAAGGAGTTCATCCCTTGCTGAGGCTGTGGATATAAGGCCCAATGCTTGGCTTCTGTGGCCCTAAGCAATGATCAAGCACCACAAGGTTAACAGACCAAAAACTCAAAAAGCCTTGTTTTCATTTATGATTCAGTTTGCTTTTAGATTTGTCAAATCGGGTCTTGGATGATATGAGGGAAGGAAATAACTTAGGACAATGGTCCTCAACCTTCCTAATGCTACAACCCTTTAATATAGTTCTTCATCTTGTAGTAACCTCCAACCATAAAATTATTTTATCACTACTTCATAAGTATAATTTTGCTACTGTTATGAATCATACTGTAAATATCTGATATGCAGGATATCTGATATTCAACCTCTGTGAAAGAGTCATCCAACCCTCCAAAGAGTCTTGACCCACAGGTTGAGAACCACTGACTTAGGAAGAAATAAAATCAACTGTGTAATATGGTACTCATAACTTGGAAAATGTAAATATGGAGATGATGTTATCTTTATTTTACAAGTGATGAAATGATGTCCAAATTTTTCACTGGCTATTCCATAAAACATGCCCATATCACATTTGGATTTGAATTTGTTTTATATTTCCCCTTAAAAGAATGAAAAGTTAATTCTGGAACATCAAGAAAAAGCCAACAGACTTCAAAGACGTCTAAGTCAGGCAGAAGAGAGAGCTGCTTCAGCATCCCAGCAGGTAGGGAATATCCTCACTATCCAGAGATGACAAACACTTTCACAGATGAAAAACAAGAGTCCTCAGAAGTTCCCAGAGAACTGATAGTCGATCTTTACTCAATTAACCTCCACAAAATTAGTCTCCTTAGGACTTGCAGTTGAAAAAGTAAAGTTTATATATAAAATAAACATCGGTATCCTCTATCTACACCTATATCTAGAACTACCATCTCTAGTAAAGTGGTTGGTAACCAAAGACAACTTTTTTTTTTTTTTTGGTTTTTCGAGACAGGGTTTCTCTGTGTAGCTTTGCGCCTTTCCTGGAACTCGCTTTGGAGACCAGGCTGGCCTCGAACTCACAGAGATCCGCCTGGCTCTGCCTCCCGAGTGCTGGGATTAAAGGCGTGCGCCACCACCACCCGGCCAAAGACAACTTTTTTAACTGAAATTAAATGAAATAAAAATTTGAGGTCGTGCTAGCCAGATTTCAAGTGTTTGGTAACTGTGGCTAGTAGGAGATTGGAAAGAACAGGTACAGAACATCATTGCACAAAAGTTTCTGCTAATAATAACTGGACATAATGTTCTGTCCAAAGTCAGGTACTTTTGTCTATATTTGAAAGTATCTTTCTGATGTTTCAAACTGTACTTTTATTTTAGGTTTTAAGTAGAAACAATATTTCAGGTACAAGTTACCTTTATTTAATGTACATTTGTATATAACCAAATAAAAACAATATACAATATAAAAACTTAGCCATTGGGAAATAATTTGGAAAATGTAGTATATCAGTGAAATTCTAGAGTAAGTAAAGAGTAATTTCTCATAATGTACACACATCATATAAATAAAATGAGCCATTTCTTCTAAATTAGGAGCAATAACTCCTCCTTTTAGGAGTGAGTAGAGACCAGTTCAGTGAGCATTTAGACAATTGAGATGGATACATGGGTGGAGGGAGGGAGAGAAGGATGGATGGATGGATGGATGGATGGATGGATGGATGGATGGGTGCATGGGTGGAGGGATTGGGAGAGGGATGGATGGATGGATGGGTATGTGGGTGGAGGGAGAGAGGGAGTGATGGAGGAATGATTGATGGGTGCGTGGTTGGAAGAAGGGATGGATGGGTGTGTGGGTGCAGAGATGAATGGATGGATGGATAGGTGCATGGGTGGAGGGAGAGAGGGAGGGATGGATGGATGGGTGCGTGGGTGGAGGGATGAATGGATGGATGGATGCATGGATGGATGCATGGATGGATGCATGGATGGATGCATGGGTGGAGGGAGTGATGGAGGGACGGATGATGGGTGCATGGGTGGAGGGAGGGAGGGATGGATGGATGAGTGCGTGGGTGGAGGGAGGGATGGATGGATGAATGGGTGCGTGGGTGGAGGGATGAATGGATGGATGGATGCATGGGTGGAGGGAGAGAGGGAGTGATGGAGGGACAGATGATGGGTGGAGGGAGGGACAGATGGATGGATGGGTGCGTGGGTGGAGGGGGAGAGGGAGTGATGGAGGGACAGATGGACGGATGATAGATGGATGGAAGGAATGATGACAACAAAGCAAATCAAGTCAAACATATTATTAACTAATATTGGGTATAAATGTACTGTTACCATCAGAGTATTCTTCTTAGCTACTGATGGCATGGCATGCTGCCATCTAGTCACTATGTGTTGTTCTTGTTCTTGTTGTTGGGTTTTGTTTTAGTTTTGAGACAAGGTCTCTCTGTGCAGCCCTGGCTGCCTTGGAACTCACTATGTTGACCAGGCTGACCTCAAACTTACAAAGCTCCATCTAACCTGTCTGTCAATCCCAAATGTTGGGATTAAAGGCATGTTGGGATTAAAGCATGCCACCACACCTGACTTTCCCTCTAATTTTAAAATCATACAAATACTCAACAGTAAACGACCAATAAAATTGTGTTCAGATAGGGGAAAGTTTGCAGATATTAAGAAAAATAAAGTCTGTCTATTTGCCGTTATTTCTGAGGCAGATCATCTGAGCAGGAAAGAGAAGTAGATTCAGACTTTCTAGCTACCAGGGGTTTGTGTGCTCATTTAGAAAATATATAAAGAAATAGACTTCAAAGCTGCAAGTAGCTGGAAATGGTAGCTTTTACCTATAGTTTTGGGACTCAGAAAGCTGATGCTGGAGGATTACAAGGTTAAAGACTAGTCTCGACTACATAGTGAGACCCCGTTTCAAAAATAAATAAATAAACTGAAGGTAGAGGTTGTGTCTGAAGAGATAACTAGAGTGAAGGATGGTTTGGGGAAGTACACTTGCCTTATGCTATGTATTGTGTTGTATTGTTAGTTTATTATCATATGTACATATAATTAACCTCAGTTAATATTCAAACTTTCCCCTTAGACTTGTCTTACTTAAAATCTGTAATGATCTGATTACCAGCTCTGCTTTATATTTGCCTAGACCACATTTGCTTTTAAGACACTTTGCTGATTAACTTTTATTGGAACTTTTTTTCACCATCTGTGGAATATAGGGATTCACAGTGTCACTCTGTGCTATGGACTGTCATATTTGGCATGCATTTCTCTAATGTGATTCAGACACTTCAAGAGTAAAATAGAATGATCACACCAAAAAGACCTCTTTCAAGGCCCTTCTCCTCAGACTAGCTAATAACTGGTGGTTGTGATACAGCACACTATGCTTTGTCTTGCACTCTCCACAGAGAAACTACTTACTGATTGTTTATTTTGTTTGCAGCTCAGTGTGATTACAGTGCAGAGAAGAAAAGCAGCCTCCATGATGAATCTGGAAAATATTTAAACATATTCGTAGTTCACTGACAGAACTGTCGAGTTGGAAAAGCTGCTGTCCCAAAGTGCATTGACATGGAGAAGCCTGCAGAGAATGGTGAAAGCTTGTGTCATTTTGCATAAGCATTTTCCATTCTGCTTTGAGGGTTATTGGAAAACAGAACAGTGACAGCTTCCTGTAAGTAAAAAAAAATATAATCTGATATTTGAGGTTCAGTGGAGAATAAAGCCAGCTGAGAAGAATGCACTGCCTTCATCAATGTGTCTATTCTTAATTAATTCCCTTTTTAATCTTGGGAGAACATAGTATTTTCAAAAGAAGTTAAATAAAAACTCTAGAATTTGATATTTCAGGTTCTAAGATTTGGAGATTTACTATCTTTTTGTTATTTCTAAGTCATTTTTATAGTTCTTAAGATTCTCTATTTTACTATAACTCATAAATGTAATAAATTATGTATTTTATAAAATGATGTTGTCATGTATTTGAATGTATAATTGTAATGACTCATTTTTAACTCTAGTTTTATGTATTTATAGAACTTGACAATATTTAAGCATTTAGGAGGTGTTTTTATCCTTTCTTTTTCTTCATAGTTTACTAATCAGATGGAGATCTTAAATTCTAAGTCTGCGTAGCTTTGAGTGTAGTCCTGCAGTGCTGCATAGATCTGTATACTTACTCTCTTCCTGGTTTGAGCTTCCTGCACACTGGTACAGCAGACGGGTTTACATCTGAATAACCAGTTAGAAGGCTTTAACAGTTTTCCAAATGAGTTGGAGCAATGTGAAAATACCCCTGTATATGTGTTCACCCCCCTAAGTTTAGGAATGGTGTTAACAAGCTGACATAATCACAGGAATCTTTGTCAAGGAGCTGCAAATTGAAGTCCTGAGAATGAAGGAGTTTGCCTCAGAGTCTTCCATGGTATGGCGAGCAGCTTCAGCCTCTGCCCACAGCATTCTCCCTCTTTCTTGTGCTCTAAACTGGGTGGCCTTCTTGAAGCCTGTTGGCACATCATTCTTCCTCCAGTCAGCAAAGCCTGCATGTGCTTTTGGAACCTTCAGACTTCAAACATCCTTTCCTCACATCAGAGTTCTCTAACTTGAGACTAAGTGAACCCTCTCTTGTTACACTGTTATTAATTGTGAGCTTTTTTTCCTCTCATTGTGCTTGTCAGTAATTGTAATTAACTGGTCTTTATTTTATTTATTATTATTATTATTATTATTATTTTACTTTTGGAAGGTCCTGACAAGGTAACATATATTTTCATTCACCACTATATCCTTAGCACCCTGCTGAGTTCCTGGAATGTTGAGAGTGTGGAGTAACTGTCCATAAACTTAAGTTTTAAGAACAGACAGGGCCATGCAGAATGGCCTATTTGTTAGCTGAACTGAGAACTACTCTTAGGATCTAACAACAAGTTAGCTCTCTCCCTGAATATCCGAATATTCTCCAAGAGGAGCACAAGCTATAGAGTGAGTATGTCACTCGGGCCTCCAAAATCGTTAATAATTTCTTTTCTTTTTTTTTCAGAATGCCTAATTATTTTTATTGAAGATTTCTATCATTTCACAGTTATATTTATTCAGATGACTAACTTAGCAACTGTGTGCTCACTGTTAGATAGTAGAGGCACAGCCATAGTCTGCTGTCTCATTAAAATTACCGTCTGATGTCCATGCTAGGGACGTGGTCATAGCACCAGTGAGCTGCAGTCCCCACCTATGTACCATTTAATGTTGGAATTTAAGAGATCAGTAATTTATCACAGACAACCTATTAAATGCAAAACGACAACTTGAAGATTTCATTATATCTAAAAAAAATTTCACAAATACAAACCCAGAATGAGTGCATAGGCCATACACAGCATAAAGGGTACCCCTCCGAACCCTGATGTTAAATTAATAACATGATGATTTATTAATTTCAAATGGTGTTTCTAGAGGCTGGAGAGAAATAGGGAGTGGCGAGTTATTGTTTAAGGGGTATGAAATAGTAGTTTTATAAGACAAATGGAATTCTAGGTGTAGTAATAATTGTACATTTATATGTGTAGTACCACTAAAAAGTACACTTAAATGATTACATTTTATTTTAGCATTTGATATTTACATTTACACTTTACTGTGTTTTGCCACAGGGGCTGGAAAGGGGCTTAGCACTCAAGGGTGCTTCCTGCTCTTCCAGAGTGTACAAGTGCTCACAAGCACCTGTAAGCTCAGCTCCAGGAGCTCCAACAACCTCATCTTGCCACTGGGCATTTGCACATATGTGGCATAACACACATAAATAAAATAAATAAATAAATCTGTCTTTTGACGCAATAAAACATGGGCCAAAACTCAATTTCATGAGCAACAATAAAGCAAAAGTCCCCTTAAATATTTCAGGCCAGGAAAGATTTGTCTGTAACCTAATCAGTAATAATTTCTAATGTGAAAATGCGGTAGAATTTTAACATTTCATGTATTGGTCAGTCTTAACTTTATTTACAAAGACAGTATCATTTCTGTGAACTGTGTTTTAGGAGACAGGGAAAATGAATAGGAAAGGAAAAGAAATTACCTAAATCTAGAATTGAAGCCCACATAGCTAGTTCATTTTATTTATTCATGCATCTTTTATTATGTCAGCCTGAGAAAGAAAGGAGATGTGATTACTGCTTCTTCCCTTTGTGTACAAATATGCAAATTGGGGCTGTCAGTAGCTCCTAATTCTCCTCTGGTGAGAACTCCAAGTCCCCCACTCAGGAGAAAATTAGCAGCAATTCAGCCATTCATTTATTCAACAGCTATGCTTCCCTCGCTGCACTGTCTTGTTAGAGCAACTCTCAAGCAATCATCATGAAAATTATTTCAATACTACATAAGTCTCTTCTTTGGCCATAGCACATTTGAGCATTTTTTCCAAAATTGCAAATTTTGAGGTTGGAGAGATGGCTCTGCTCTTCTCAGGACCCAAGTTCAGTTCCCAGAACCCACAGAGGGCAGCTCACAACAGCCTTAACTCCAACTCCAAGAGATCCAGCTCCTTGTTCTAGCCTCTGTGGGTACTTCATGTACACACAGCAATACAAGGACACACACATAATTAATACTAAAGTAAATCCTTCTTTAAAATAACATTTAAATAATATAAACATAGTACTCATGTAGAAAAATCCTCAAAAAAAAAATAAAATAAAAAGTTAAGTTCAAAGCAAACAAGCAAAGCAATAAATCTAGGTAGGCACTGTGGCCCACATCTGTAATTCCAGCAGAAGGATGACTGAATGCAAAACCAACCTGGTTATATCATGAATTCTGAGTCAGCCTAAGCTATAGAGTGAGCCCTGTCTCAAAACAAAAATTTAAATAAAAATAACAAAGAAAATGGTATTTGGGGAAGTAAAATAATAAATTTGTAGTAAACTTTTAAATTTATTTGGGGGTTAAGGAGATGGTTCGACAGTTAAGGGCAGCACTGGCTACTCCTCCAGAGGACCCAAGTTTGGTTCCTAGAACCTATGTGGCAGCTACCAACCATCTGTAACTCTAGTTTCAGAGGATCTGATCCCTCTTCTGGTTTCATGGGCACTGCATCCATACAGTGAGTGCATACACATGCATGCAGGCAAAGCACCCACACATAAAACTAGACATAAATAAAAATGTGTTTAGTTCCCCTAGCCATATGAGTATACTTAAGGTTTTACAGTCAAAAAGATACTGACTGATTTCTCTTACTGATCATTACTACATAAGCATTTGTGGTAATATTAATACTATTATTTGTGGCAATATTAATACTAGCATTTGTATAGCATTTGTGGTAGTATTAATACTATCATTTTTATAGCATTTGTGGTAATATTAAAACTATCATATAGGAAGACGAAAAATAACTATGTACATACATAGGAAAAGAAAGACATCTTGAAAGTAATTTTTTTACAGTACTGTCACCTTTTAGCCCAAGAATTTACCATAAAACTTTTCAGTGGGCTGTGGGTATAGCTCAGTAGAAGAGCACTTGCCTGTGTGCATGAGAACCTGGTTTCAGTCTCCAGTACTGCTAAAAGCAAAAATCCCCCACATACTCCACATTCCTACAGGCACTCCAGTATGCACACTGACCCCCGTTGTCTCTTCAGTCACTGTTACCTTACTTGATAACAAAGCAGAGCCCATCAGGTATGGTTGCTCAATGTGTTTTTCCAATCCAGTCTTTGTTGCTGCTTGTACCTTATCCTTAGAACACCAAGAAAGAACCATCCTTTGCCTTGCAAATGTCCAGTTATGCCACACTCGTTATGTTTCCAGCGTCTAATCTAATAATTCTGATCAACAAAATTACTAATCTTCTTAGTGACTCCCTGTAGCATCCTAGTAATCATGATTCATTCCTTTAGTGTTTATTGAAACCATTTAATTGTTTTGATAAGACATTAAGGAAATTTTCATTCAATATTTTCACTTGATGGTAACCAAGTCCTTTCTTGAAAGGAAAAAGTGCCAGAAGAATGTAGTATGATGTGAAAGGAAGAGTGTTAGCACTTAGATCTGTGAAAATAGGAAGAGACTAGCATCTCCTCTTATGTAAACTGATACAGAGGGTAAAAAATATTAGAGAAGTTTTACCTCAAATAATTCATTGGAGAATTGTCCCATATCTGTGATACATGTGCTGATACATATTACTGGTATATATTTATTGATAATCTATGGAGTAGTAGGCATTTGCATTTATTATCACATATAATCCAACACTGCTGCTTGGTAGAGATGATTTCCTTCCCAATAATGGAAAGTATGGCAAAGATTAAATATTTGCCAGAGTCATATCACAGGCAAATGCCACAGCTGGGTTTAGAACCAGACTCCCTTACACTCTACAGCACAGCACCTTTCAGTTTGTAGTGTCTGTGCTGGCATTGATTCAGTGGTAGGCTTTATAAATGTTCTTGGTGCCTGGGATAGGACTCATATCTGGGTGCTCTCTGAGACTAGGTAACACAGCACTCTTTTTAGGTCACAGGCCCGTGTTCATCAAAAATATAGGTCTCTAGTCCAAAGTCCATCGCATTCCTCAAAAAAACACCAGTCTGGTTCTTTAGAGCGAAAACTCCACTTCCATGGTACCAGCTCATCATTAGTTTACTTTTCTGTTGCTGTGATACAATACTG